GGGGGGGGGGGGGGGGGGGGGGGGGGGGGGGGGGGGGGGGGGGGGGGGGGGGAGAGAAGGAGGAGGATGGTCGGTCAGGCCTTGGGATGGCGGCCGGTTCACACGCAAGGCCCGGAGGGCACCACAGGGCGAGCGAGGGCGAGAGGCGACGCACCGGAGCGCACGGCCGCCGAGGAAACGTCGATCACAAAGATGTACGCCGGCGCCTGGGGGGCCGCCTGGAGGTAGCTCTCGGTGGCCACATACTCGATGACCGCCTGGCGGACATCCGGCGTGGGGTAGCCGTCATTGACGGTGGAGCACATGCAGCACTTCCACCGGGTGTTGTTCTCCACGAAGGTGACATACGGGTTGATGTATGCACGGCACCGGCGGCAGCGCACAATATTCCGGCCGGTGGCCGTGGGGACCTTCTGTGGTGGGGGGCACATGCGGCACCGGGGGGCCAGGTGGGTCAGCAAAGGAGGGCCAACGGCCGGGAGAGCGGCGCGAGCCCCAGGCACATGGCCGGCGAGCGGGGGGGGGGGGGGGCTTCGGGCAGGACACCGGCCCAGCCGCCGCGGGGACCATCGTACCGTCTTGGTCAGGTGCGAGAGGAAGGGCGACACGAAGAGGCCCAGCGGGACCTTGGACTTGTTGGCGACCGAGGAATTGGCCGGGAACATGCCAACCGTGCAGGACTGGATCTGCGGGTCGCAGTGGTTGATTGGCACCACCGAGAAGGGGGACTGTGTGTGTGTGTGTGCGTGTGTGCATGCGTGCGTGCGTGCGTGCGTGCGTGCGTGCGTGCGTGCGTGCGTGCGGGGAGAAGAATGGATCACACCATGGTGGTCAGCGAGGAGCGGGCTTTCGAGGGAAGGCACAAAGGGAGCACCCAGGCCCAGGACATGAGCGGGCCCCGGGGCCGGGGAATGGGCTGTCCAAAAGGCGCACCTCATCGATGCGCGGCGGGCTCGGGAAGAAGTTGATCTGCCCAGGGTCGTCCAGGGCCAGCGGCACGCGAGTGAGGCTGGAGCCACCCATGCCGCCCGGGGCGGTGCCGCCCATGCCGCCCATCGGCGCGCCCGGAGGCAGGAACCCGGGCGGCATGTTGCCGCCCATGGCCGGGGGGAAGTGCCCAGGCTGGTGGGCGGGGGCCGGGCCGGCAGCCGGATAGGCGCCCTGCGGTGTGCCTGGCAGGTGGGGGATCATCGGCGGAGCATGGTGCGCGGCGCCAGGCATCGGGGGAGCCGGCATGCCACCCATGGCCGGGAAGCCCGGCGCGCCGGGCGTCGGCATCCCCGGCACCGGAGGGAAGAGCCCCCCCGCGGGAGGGGGACCGGTCACGCCACCGGCACCCGGGGCCTGGTGGTACGTCGGGCCGGCCGGGGCGCTGGCCGGCGAGCCGCCACCATACGCCGGAGCCGCCAGCCCTGTTCCCGGCCGGGGGATGGGGATCTGCCCAGGCACCGGGGTGGCCTGGAACTGCGGCGGCTGGGCCGGCTGCTGGAACTGCTGATACTGCTGGCCCGGCTGCGGGGGGGACTGAGCCATCTGGCCGGGGGTCGGTTGCTGATGGTGGTGGTGGTGGTGGTGCTGCTGCTGCTGCTGCTGCTGGAAGGATGGCTGGGGGGCCGGCATCGGGGGGGTGTTGGCCGCCGGGGAGTAGGCCGTCGTCGTCGCCGCCGCCGCCGGGGCCGGGGCCGGGGCCTCAGCCTGGATCGACAGCCGGCCAATGTTGGGCATGCCCATGGGCGGGGTCACCACCGCAGGGGGAGAGCCGGCAGCAGCGCCGGCCGGCGGCGGGGGGGAAACCATGGCACCGCCATGCACCGGAGGAGTGCCGGCCAGCGGAGGCGGCGCGGCCACCAGGCCGCCGGGGATGGGCACGCCCGCGGCCGGCTGAGGGGATCCAAGGTGTTGGTGTCAGTGGTTGGCGGGCAAGTGGCAACGGCTGCGAAGAAGGGCGGAGCCATCAACCGAGAGGGGAGACAAAGAGAGAAGGAGATAGAGAAGCACGATGGGGAGAAAGGGCGGAGGGGGAGGGGGCGTACCGGAGTCATCTGCGGGGGGAAGCCAGCCGAGGGGGGGGCGGCCACAGGGGCGCCGGGCATGGGTGGCGGCACGCCGGCAGGCGGGGTGCGCGCCATCGGAGGCAGGGGACCGGGCATGCCGTGGGGCGGTGGGGCGGCCACCGGGCCCGGGCCACCGGGCATGGCCATGGGCGGCGCGGGCGACAGGCCGCCGGGCATCATCGGCGGGGCGGGCGAAAGGCCGCCGGGCATGGGCGGGGCCGGGGAGGCGCCCCCCGGCATCGGAGGGGCCATGCCAGCGGCCCCGGGCATCGGCGGGATCATGCCCACCGAGCCGGGCATCGGCGGCGGCGGCGCGGCTCCCGGCTGGAAGGCCCCCGAGGGAGGGGGGGGCATCACACCGCCCTGCGGATGGTGCGAAGGAGGCACCCCCATGCCAGGGTGCGGGTACTGGTACTGCTGCTGCTGCTGCTGGGACATCGCTCGGGCTGGGCGGTGGGGGGCGTGGGGGCCGTGGTAAGCTGGACGGCGGTGGCAGCAGTGGCGGGGACGCAGCAGTAGGGCAGGGGTAGGAGGGGGGGGGGGAGAAGAAGAGGGGTGCTTGCGTACGGGGGGCAGCTTGTGCCGGGCAGGGGCGGGACAACGGGGTGGTGCGGCGGCCAAATACGCGGGAGGAGGGAAGGGGGGAGGAGAAGGAGGAGGTGGTGTGTGTGTGTGTGTGTGTGTGTATG